AGAGGGAGGGGGAGAAAGAGAGAGGGGGGGAGAGAGAGGGAGGGGGAAGAAAGAGAGGGAGAGAGAGAATGGAGAGAGGTTAAAGAGAGAGAGAGGAGATGGGGGAGGAGGAGGGGAGAAGTGGCTCAGATGTAAAGGAGGGCTCACATATCTTCACAAAAACCCTAGCCTGCTGATTGGCCCTATTTTTTTTAAAAAGACAATACATATGTAGATCTAGTATGGACAATCACTAAAGACAGTGAAAATAAAATAGAAGCAACATAAATGTGGTTTCTTAGGAGACTGCTGAGAATATCATGGAAGGAAAAGAAACCAAATGAGGTAGTGCTTGATGAAGCCCACGTGGGACGCTCACTGTTAAAAACAATCAGGAAACGACAAATGCAGTTTTTGGAACACCTGAATAGACATAAAGGTCTAGAACATCTAAGATAAAATAGGTACGATAACATAAGATAATACTTTATTATCTCAAAGGGAAATTTTTCTTGGCAGTACATGACCGTGAAAACACAATGACATGCAGGTATACATAAAAAATCTAAATTATATTATTACTCTCATAAAAATTCAGTATGAAAAGAGAAGTAAAACTGACAAATTGTACATATCACATCAGATACACTATTCAGCCACATGCAGGAATTTGATTACCAGACCTCTCGAGTTATACACATCTATGCTTATTCTGACAATAGCCTATATGGTAGACGGTAAAAAAAAAATCTTTTATACCTTTCTTTTTTTTTTTTTTTTGGAGGTACATGCCGCTGCGTGATCTTACGATTTGCGTGGAAAGTGGGTGTGATGGGTCGTTTATAATGCTTTTTGTCTTTTTCATAATTGTGGTGTTATACATTTCATCAATCCTAGTACAAACATTTAATGGTTCTGTCAAATTTTTCTTTATCTTTCACCTGATAATTCCCAGCCCAGCAGCAAATACAAAATAATAGCACGCTTTCAATCATAGAATGGTACGAAAGGGACATCATCTTATTATCAACACGGAAACTTCTTAATTTCCTTTATAGGAACATCTAGCTCTCACTGACAAAAGTGAAGGCAAACGAGACAGGCTGCTCATCTGCCCGCTTCTTAAATTACCTTAACAATGTGTATGGGAACGTAAATTTTTATTTTTTTAAATTTAAACAAACAAACAAAAAGAAGAAAAAAAATTTTAAAAAAAAAATATATATATATATTGTATGTATAAACAATCACAAATAGTCTTTTTTGTTCTTTCCTCTGTGCTTTCCTCACACAGGCCCACTCATAATTCGACGTTCTCAGCAGCCCGCTTCTTAATTAAATCATCTAAATAATGTGGATGGGGACGTAAAAAACTATAGTTACAAATACCAATGGTGTCCCCCACACACAGGCCCACACAGAGAACACTCGGGTTCGGAGTTCTCAGCGGCCTGCTTCTTTTTTTTTTTTTTTTTAGTATTTTAATAATATTGTCGATGGGGCTTTAAAAAAACTATAATTATAAATATTTTTTTCTACCCTCTGTGTTTTCCCCACACACAGACTCACACACAGACCCTCACACAGAACCACACACAGACCCACGCACAGACCCACGCACAGACCCACACAGAGTTCGGGGTTCTCAACAGCCCGCTTCTTAAATCATCTTTAAAATGTAGAAGGGGGCGTTAAAAAAAAACACCCTGTAACGATCACAAATAACAAGGTTCTTCTTTCTGTGATTTCCCACACACTCAGGCCCACGCCAAGAACACAGAGTTTCGAGTTCTCAACAGCCCGCCTCTTAAAGTACCTCATTAATGTAGATAGGGGAGGGGGAAATGTTACAATTACAACTAACAATGCGTGTTCTTCCCTCTATCTTTTCCCCACACACAGGCCCACACAGAGTTCGGAGTTCTCTGCAACCTGTTTCTTAAATTACCTAAATAATGTAGATAGGGCAGTGAAAAGTGCTACAATTACAACTAACAACGTTTGTTGTTCCCTCTGTCTTTTCCACACACACAGGCCCACACAGAGTTCGGAGTTCTCAACAGCCCGCCTCTTAAATTACCTTCTTAATATCGACGTTGCTGTTAAAAAAATTCAACTATGATCGCAAATAAATATCAATGTTCTTCCGTCTGTGTCTTTCTCCACACAAAGGCCAGCACCGAGAACAGAGAATCCCGCTTCTTAAGTAAATCATCGTAATGATGTGGATTTTAGCGGGGGGGGGGTTAAAATATAATCGCAATACATTTACGAGTACATGTATAACAATGTTCCTCTTTCTGTGAATTCCCCCAATCACAGGCCCATACGGACAACACAGAGTTCGGAGTTCTCTGAAACCTGTTTCTTAAATTAACTAAATAATTTAGGTGGCCAAGTGGTTAGGCTCTCGGACTCGCAACCGTAAGGTCGCAGGTTCGAATCCCATCAGGGGCCCTACGTTGTGTCCTTGGGAAAGGCACTTTACACGAATTTTCCTCACTTCACCCAGGTGGGAATGGGTACCCAGCCATAGACAGTGAAAGATCTTGTCAGTTTGTTAGTGTTTAAGCACTTAAGCAGCTGCTTGCACTGTATGCTTCCCGGGAAGCTGAGAATGTTTCGGAGTGTTCTATGGTCTGCAGGACTAATAATATAGTGTAAAGCGCACAGAGCCTGCTGTTGAGCGGGGGCATGCGCTATACAAATTTTAATGCTATTTCTTTATTTTATTTTGGGGAGTGAAAAGTGCTACAATGACCACCAACAACGTTTGTTCTTCCCGCTATCTTTTCCTCCCACACAGACCCACACAGAGTTCGGTGTTCTCAGCAGCCTGCTTCTTAAATTACCTGAATAATGTGTATGGGGGCGTAAAAGTCTACTTAGTGGTATAAAATCGATAAGAGTAGGCTTTGGCCGCCACCCGGACAAAATTCAAATTTTCCTACCAACTGAAAATGTTCAATGTGTCTCGCATGCTCATATATGACCTTATGCAGTTGTGAGCGCTGTAAAACACTTTTTTTAAAAGTAGAAGGAAGTGTGTTTCTACGTTCTCTAACGTTAGAGAATGTATACAAGCTGTCTACGTTCTCTAACGAATAAAAAAAAGTAACAATATTAAGCCTGTAGGGCCCTATTTGAACTTCCGGATAAGGCTAGGCTACTTTTCAATCTTTCTTTTTTTTCAAATTGGTTTACATTATGTTGTGTCGTTAGATCTACATCAAATAGGTCCGCCAGTCCACTCATTGAATTGGGTTATTTCATGCACTAGATCTAGGCCTATCGAAGACCTAGCGTTGATATGACTGACTTGACCTTGACCCACGTGATTTGATTTCATGACTGTAATGTCACATCACGCACCAAATCGGCAATGTTTCTCCACACATGTGAATTTGGTATAATTAAATTACGGTCTCTCACGTTGTATCACATATGCCTACCTTGGCGTTGAGGTGGGAATACGAAATCGCAAGTAAACTGCAAGCTATCTTCTAAATACTAATTACAGACGGCCTGGTCTTCAATAACGTATTCAAAGTTTTAGAGTGCACCTTCCTTTTGTGAAAAGTGTAGGCCTACAACATATTATTATGAAAAGGGGAGGGGGGGTGGTGTCATCTTGATGGAATGATAGAAGGTGTTCGTTGCTTGTTAGGGGTTTAACGTCGTTGTATAGACAAGAGACAAGATGCGGTACTGTAGACAGCTTTACTTTCTCGAGCATTTTAATTTCAGGAAAGTAAACTTAATAGCTTGCGAAAATAAAGTGAAAGCACTGTGGAAGCAGCAATGTCGACTCGTTTCCGTGTTAGATAGAGCGAGCGAGCTATTTTTAGGTTCTCTACTAACATTAGAGAACGTAGACAACTTGTATACGTTCTCTAACGTTAGAGAACGTAGACACTACCATATAGATAGATAGATAGATAGATAGATAGATAGATAGATAGATAGATAGATAGATAGATAGATAGATAGATAGATAGATAGATAGATAGATAGATAATGAGGGGAGAGAGAGAGAGAGACATAATCTTCCTCCCCTCCTCTTCTCCCAATCTCAGCTCTTCCCCCGACTCCAGCCTCCTCCACTTTGCGCCCCCTGTTGGTCCGACTCCCCCCCCCCCTCCCCCACACCACAGTGCACTGGTCAGTGGTCAGTCCTCTCTCTGTCCACCGACACCCAGTGTCCTCTCCCTTCTCTCCGTCCGGTCCCCACAGGGAGGGGGATAGAGAGAGGTGGTTTCCCCGTCGACAGTCCCCCACCATCCATCCCCCGCCCACCTGCCTACTTATGCACACAGCTATCACCTATATGTGCTATGGGTTGTCCAGCTTGGCGACAACATGTCTTATCACCAGAGATCAATTATAACTGACGACTGTCAGGGACAAAGCTATCTTCTAAATACTAATTACAGACCGCCTGATTTTCAGTGACTTATTTAAAGTTTATGGGGGGGGGGGGCATCAGAGTGCACCTTCCTTGGGTGAAAAGTGTAGGCCTACAACATAATATTATTATGAAAAGGGGGGGGGGTGGTGTCATCTCGTTGAAATGATAGAAGGTGTTGGTTGCTTGTTAGGGATTTAACGTTGCTGTAAAGGCAAGATGCGGTACTGTAGACAGCTTCACTTTCGCGAGCATTTTAATTTCGCGAAAGTAAACTTAATAGCTTGCGAAAATAAAGTGGAAGCACTGTGGAAGCAGCAATGTCGACTCGTTTCCATGTTAGATAGAGCGAGCGAGCTATTTGTAAGTTCTCTACTAATACTAACATTAGAGAACGCAGACAACTTGTATACGTTCTCTAACATTAGAGAACGTAGACACTACCAAAGTAGAAATCTACAACTACAAATAACAATGTTCTCCTTTCTGTGTCTTCCCCTCCCTGTACAGGCCCACACAGAAAACACGGAGTTTGGAGTTCTGAACCTGAGGGTGGTCTACAAGTACGAGTCTCACACCTTGTTGGTGGAAGGTACGGCCAGCTCTGATGGGGCTTTTGTCTGTCTGTCATCTGTTATATCTGTTGTAATGATAGTGTGAGCACTGATGAGCTTTTGTTTCTGTCTGTCTTCTGTTATATCTGTTGTGATGGTAGTGTGAGTACTGATGTGGCTTTTGTCTATGTCTGTCATCTGTTATATCTGTTGTGATGATAGTGTGAGCACTGATGGGGCTTTTGTCTGTCTGTTAGCTGTTATATCTGTTGTGATGATAATGGGGGCAGTCTGCATCTGTAGCAACAGTTGAATAGTTATTGTCATCGTCATGGTCATCATCATCATCATCATCGTCGCCACCAGTTTGTTGATTGTAGATCATCATCATGGCGTCGGTGGCCTAGTGGTTAGGCTCTCGGACTCGCTACCGTAAGGTCGTGGGTTCGAATCCCGTCAGGGGCCCGACGTTGTGCCCTTGGGAAAGGCACTTTGCACAAATTTTCCTCACTTCACCCAAGGAGAAACGGGTACCCGGCTATAGACAGTGAACGATCTTGTCAGTTTGATAGTGTTTGAGCGCGTGAAATCAGCAGCTTGCATTGTATGCTTCCGCGGAAGCCGAGAATGTTTCTGGGTGTTCTCAGGGGGTCTGCTGGGATAATAATAGTTGTAAAGCGCATAGAGCAAGCTCTTGAGCGTGGATATGCGCTATATAAATGCAATTATTATTAAATGCAATTACTATTATTATTATTATTATTATTATTATTATCGTCATCATCATTGTTTGGAAAGCAGAGTGATTTACAAACAAAATAATATAAAAATATAAAATGTTTAAAATTTATTTTATTGAAACAGCTCAAAGTTTCGCTCTTGAGCTTCCATCATCGTCGTCATCATCGTCGTCGTCGTCGTCATTGTTGTTGTTGTTGTAGACCATCATCATAGTAGTTGTGAAGTTTTTAAGGCTCTCCATCCTTTTGGCTCAGTCCTTTCGGAGAAATATGTTGAATTCGAAGGTCCGGCCTCATAAATAACCTAACAGTGTTGAAAGGGGCGTTATACTTATAAATTTTCAAAAATGATTGATTGGAAACATCTCTGCCATTGCCCTTGTAAAGCAATCAGCTACAATATCGTTATAAAAGCCACTTGCTAATGTCGCTTCGATGTCTTTTATCCTATTACAGATCCAGACCCCTAGTTACTGGACTTTGAGTTTTTTAAAAGAAGAAGAAAAATAAAAAGAATTAGCCTTGTGGGGATATGACTATCGCTATGCTGACAAGACACTTTTCAATAATGTGTTTACGCGTTTCTCTCTCTTGTATTTCAGTCTTGACCGCCAAAGATCTAATCCCTCTGGATGCCAATGGTAATTTTTTTTTACTTGTTGTTTTGTTTTGTTTTGTTGGGGGGGGTGTCCACTCCCATAGACACAGTTTAGATCATTTTAAGGAGGCAGACTACCTCGATCCTGCCTTCCAGGGCCAACCTGAAAACACCAGCAAGAAGGCCAAGACACTGGATAAAAATTATCCCACACACGGGAATCGAACTCGGGTCTTCTGTGTGAGATGACGAGGTGTCTAACCACTACACCAAACATTCTCTACTTGTGGAGATTCTCTACTTGTGGAGAATGTTTGACTACACCACAGACGCCGGTAAAAAGTTCAGAATTAGCACTGTTATGATCAGAGAGTCTGTAATAAATTGTAACGGTAAGTGTTTTGCACTCCCGACACATTTCGGTTATTAAGATAATTTGGAAAGACGACTGCTTGACCTTGCCTACCAGGGTCAATCCGGGCTGTGTGAGATAGGGCGACCCAGAAAAAAAAGCCTCAGATGCTCGATTACTTTATTAATTTTTTTATCTGAGAATCGAACTCATGTCTTCTGTGTGCTGTGATGAAGCGCCTTACCATCATACTGAAGTCCCTGGTGCAGGCAGACTGTGTGAAAGAATTTGTTCGCTGAGACGTTCGGCATTTTTTTCCTTATAAAAAGAAAGTTAGAAAACTACTATTACTATTTTACTTTCTAGTGGGCTTATATCATCATATTAATAATACTATATACTATGTATGCATATTTCCTGAGCAGTGTAACTTCTTCATTACCGATTGTGACATTATAAAATGTTATAATTTAGGCATTGGAGTGTAAATATGTTGTGCGTACGCCGCTGCGCATACATACTCTTGGCGTGCATGTGTGTGTGGGCGCGCGCGTGCGTGCGCGTGTGTGTGTGTGTGTGTGTGTGTGTATATGTGTGTGTGTGTGTGTATATATATATATATGTGTGTGTGTGTGTGTG